ACGTCCCGAATATCGTGACCGTACGTCGAGCGGTTAAGATTTGTGCCCAACTGTTGACGGACGGACGGACGGACGGACGCTCGGACGGGACGGACGGACGATCATGCGATTCTACAAGCTGCATCTGACTATGTCAGATGAGCTAAAAATCCAACTATCTATCTATCCATGCATCCATCCCATTCCATGACATCCCATCGCACCGTATCCCATCCCATATCCCATCCCATCCCATCTCATACCATCCCATCCCATCGCATGCCATGCCATGCCATCGCATGCCATGCCATCCCATCCCATGCTATCGCACGTCATCCCATCCCATCCCAAACAATAAAAAATAAGAAAGAAATCAAAAGATAAAAGACATTGATTAAATATAAAAAATAAAAAGTAAAAAGTAAAAAAGTAAAAATAATACATACTAACTTCAAGTTAAGAGAGAACCCCTAGAAGGCAGGGGGTGGGGGGTGGTTCATCTCAAGAACATCCACTGTGGCCGTTAGGGGTAGGGAGAACCAATCAGAAAAAAAGGAGAGGGTCTATGCAATCAGACCACATGTAGTGATAGGTGAGAAAGAGGAAAACAACAAGATGGGGGAGGAGGCTGTTCACGCTGAGGCTGTATTATGCAACGGTTACAGGTAAATCAAAAGGGGCTAGGATATTTCTATAGACACGCGTGCACACACGCATTTTTTACGACATGCCACGCCACTCAAAACACGAACTGATAGTGCTCAACAACAGTCAATAATCGTACGTGCGTTCCTATTTCTACGTTTGCACGCTCTGAAAACTCTCAATAGCTGCATTTCACCCCCGAGCTAGCTACCTAAACAGAGCAAGGTTACACGCGTACTCGGTGTGAGTACATGTGCTAGACTTGTGTGTTCCTACACCGTACACACGTGTAATCACACGCGATTGTTGCACCGTAACTTCGCAGCGAGTTATAATTTCAAATTCAAATATTTAAACGTTTACAGGCAAGTAAAGCGCACATTTCGCTTCACAAATTGCACGAAAGTGGAATTTTTTAAAACAGGTTTTAAAATGTATACATGTGTGAAGATAAATGAGTGTCGCATACAAGCATTTTACTCTTTGCACCTTTGTATCATGTATTCGTACTGTACCAAGCTTCAAATGAATCCATGTATGGCTTCGCATTGGTAACCTTGGCTGTAAAATCTTCATTCAGCCCCATGTTTTAAAAGCACATGAGACCGAGTTGAGGCAGCAGCAAGTCTCGCTCTTACTAGCTCTAGTACTATAGCCCGCGTACAGTTGCCGCAGAACTGTACGCGGGCTATAGTACTAGACTAGAGCTACGCTCTTACTGACTGTCAGCACATACAAACGTATCACTTGGTGAATTCAATTAAGCAAACCAGTCGTTTGTCACACAATCCTATAAGATATTTTTTTCAGGCCAGCCCACGACATGCACGCACCCACGCACACGTCAACAACAGTCACACGATCAATGGCAATACCTTTTTTTGGCACACAATCACACATAACAAGCACATACCCGTCACTGCTTGCTTTAACAGCCAATCTACGTCTGGAAAGAGATAATTCCTTTTCTCTTTTCTCATTCTCGCTTTCTCCTTGTCCTAATTCCTCCCCTTTCTCTCTTTCACTGGCTCTCACTTTTGCTATTGTGTCTTGCTCTCTCTCTCTCTCTCCCCCCTCTCTGTATCTCTCTGTATCTCTCGCTCTCTCTCACTCGTACTCCTCACACTCCCTCTCTCTATCTCTCTTCCTTCCTCCTTCCCCACACACACACACATCTCTAAATCAATGACGATATCATAATTGCAATTGCAAGAACGTATCACGATTCTACTCAGCAGAGCTCTAGCGCACTAACCGCAGCCGCCTCGCCCACATGCTTAATTCCAGCGAGACAACAATCGCCTCGGCACAAGTCAATTGTTGGAAAACCATGGCCGTCTTCTGTATATGGCACAATACCGACATCACCAGCCACCACACAGACCAACGAATATATGTATAAGGCCAAAACAAAATATATGTGTGGTTACCGTTACATGCAGAAAAAAAATAGGGTAGGTAGGTAGGGAAAACATTTTATTTTCTTGAAATATTTTATTTACGAACCATGTCTGAAGGATGTGCGTTGTGCCTTTTGAAGCAGGAACTATCCAATTCATATATTTTTATTTTATTTTATTTTTAATTTTTTTGGTTGACTTTAAAGAAAATTGACAATAAAATGTTTATGGTCGCTGGGAATAAGTAGGGTCGGTCGGGAAACCGTAACCACACCTATATTTTGTTTTAGCCTTTAGTATAATTACGTAGGCCTATATATATATATAATATATATAAATTTACATTTGATATTATTCCATCATTTATATATATGGGATACTGCAGGCCAATCACAACAATGCAAAGCTCAGCGTTTTTGGCAAGCCATGTACTACTCACTACACACTTGTTGGTGGGATCTCACTGTCTGCGTCAGATTTTAAATTTAGGGGGTTAGGGCAAGTGTTGCTTTCGGTTCAATCCGAGAGAAAGCAAGTGAGCGCGAGAGAAAAAGAAAGAGAGATGAAGCAAGAGAGGGAGCGAGGGAGGAAGGGAAAGAGAGAGGGAGAGAGAGAGAGAGAGAGAGAAAGAGAAAGAGAAAGAGAAAGAGAAAGAGAA